GACAGCCAGAGCTACACAGAGAAACCCTGTCTTGAAAAACCAAAAAAAAAAAAAAAAAAAAAAAAGATGGCTTACTGGGCAAAAGCATTTGCCACACAAACCTGAAGGTCTGACCAAGATTCTTGGAGCCACGATGCTACAAGGGGAGAAGAGCCTCCCGAGGGCGGTTCATGCCTACATGCCAGCATCCGACACACACTATAGTAACAACAGCCCGGAGTAACAACATGAACAAATGGCCATGGGGAAATTATTCTAGTGAAAAGCAGAAGTGTTTTCCATAGCAGAATGTTGTTGCATGTCTATAATCACAGCTCTGAGGAGCTGAAGCAGGAGGATTTGAGTTTGAACTAAAATTTGTCTACATAAGTGCAACGCTGTCTCACAGACAGACAGACAGACAAGGACAAAACTGGTTCTTAGGTTACATTTGAACTAAAATCTCTAATACTGTAATTTTTTTCATCCCCTTTAACCTATTAATATTCATAGTTTTAAAAAGTCAGGTTTGTTTATTCATTTATTTTCAAAATGAAATGGGTTTGGAAGTTGTTTTTCTTAAGGTCTCTTTGTTTATTTTCATTCCCAGTTCTGTGTGTGTGTTTGCTGAGTGGATGTGTAACACGTGTATGGAGGTGCTTCCTGAGGCCATAGGGTGCTGGATCCCTTGGGATTGGAGTTCCAGGTCACTGTGAGTCACCTGCTATGAGTACAGGGAAACAAGACTGAGTGTCCTGCAATAAGCAGTAAGCACTCTTAACTCTGAGCCATCCTTCCAACCTGAGTTTGAATATTGTTTTAAATTATTTTATTTCTGTGTAAAACCCAATTGTTGGTTGTTTTCGGCCATTGACGCCTGGCTCTGGGTTACAGCTGAGAGGCAAGGCCCACTGGAGCTAGAGAGTACTGCAGTTTCTCCCTAAGATTTTCAATGGTCTTTCTGAGAAGCGGAGGGCACAGTTCAGTTGGAAACTTGGTTTTGAACTCAGGTGAAGGTGTAAGTTAATCCACTCTGCCACCCACAGACATCATGACTAGGACCAGAACCCACCTGTCAGGGTTCCATTTTGTCATCTGCAATATGAGGCTGTAGAGCACCTTCCTGGAGGACTCACGGAGAATTCAGACTTTCTGGAAAGCTCTCAGCATAGTACAGGCACCAGGGAGTGGGAGCACCTGGAGGTAAATAGCCATGAGGGTGGCGCTTTGCAGATTCTAGGCTCCTCCATGGTCTCAAAGAGAAGTCAACCTTCATGCGACCAATGTTCCAAATACCATGTTCTGGGCGTCTATGGGAGGACATATTTGACATATTCCTTATGAGGGCTCCTGAATCCTCACCAGTGTTACCGGGGCAAAGAGAAGTGTAGGGACACTACACAATGTCCCCAAGAGCACACAGCCAGGAAGAGCCAGAGGGTAAGAGTGGATTCTTCCAAAACTCTGGCCTTGGCCAAGAAGAGGAAGTCAACCATGGTGCATTGTGGGCCTCTATACAGTTCCCTGCAATGGAAGTCTAATCTCTAGCCATTAAAGTTGTATTTAGTAGTAGAGGAAGCTGTGTGCCCTGCCTGGGACTGCAGCAGACAAGCCACTAAACCCCAGGCACAGGCAGGTGTATTTTGTCTCCAAAGAGGTTGCAGACCATCTCTCATCCTATTCTCAAGAAACTCTGAGGCCACCACAGTGGATGGCTTTTCTTCTGTGAAATAGAGGAGGTTGACCTTAAAGTGACTTTGGAAGTCACTTGGTGCCTTCACTCCATTTTGGCCACATGAACATGGGCAGCCAGGCAACAGGCAATGCTGAGAACTTCTGACCAGTGGGTGGGTGTGCACCTGGAACCTCACGGGCTTTTTCTGCATTGCTTTCCCATGATGTTTACTTAAAATTGGATTCCCACCTTAGGAGTCTCCCAGGTCCTCCGTGTTGTGGTGAGTGATGGGACAGAGATTCACTGAGGCAGATAACCTCAGGCCACTCTGCTGGACAGTGGCAGAGTGCAAGCATGTGTTCTGTGTCCCAAAGTTCTCAGCAAGTAATACAAAAAGGAACCATTAAACTCCACAGCTGGCACCTGGGGCCGGTGTCATACCTCCTTACCCTGAACCATGCTTCTACGTGGGGCTCTGCAACTTACAAACTGTGACTTGTGTAAATGGCTTTCTTCACTTCCTTTCCACAGTAGGACTGACACCATGTAGTGGGGCTGCAGAGTGAGCAATTCTTGGCTCAGTGTGAAGTTGCAAAAGGAGGATGGACTCTCTTCTGACCCCTGAGAGGCCCTAGCAAAGCAAAAATGTACCAGAGTAGATGCAGAGTGGGTGACTATAGCAAGGTGACCCAGCCTCCAGTCCCGCAGCAGTCCTCAGGACACTCTGAAATTCACTCATTCGTTCACAGCTGCGGGACTAACCAAGAGGTGGTGGCACAGCTTCTGGCCTCCGGTAAGCACAGTCTGGTGAGAATTAGCCACTGATCCTCCAGAGCTTTCTAACTCGGGCTTGGGAGTTTGGGGCCAGGGTGCAGGCTTTCTTTGAAAATAATGAGAGGATAACTGGATGACTCGCATGCGCAGAAGCACAGAAAACACATAATGCCAGGAACACACGGAGGGTGGTATTTAAAGACAAAGAAAAATGGATTGCCCAGGGCCAGAGATCACATACATCGCATAGCACAGAGATCACATAGCACAGTATAGGGGATCGTCGGGGTTTGTTTTGGGTTTTTCGTTTTTGCTTTGTTTTTCCAGAAAATTCTCACATCTCTAAGGGCCGCTGCAGCAATTGCGCCCAGGATCCCCCAGCTACTTGAGCTGCACCAATAGAGCAGCTGTGTGCTGCGCTGCCTGGGCAGAGACCGTCGCTAGGCAATAAGCCCCGCCTCCAGTTACCACCGGCTCGCCCTCTCGTGATAGCATCCTGCCACTGCATTAGACGCCCGAGGAGGCTGCGGGACTGGTATATTTATTCTTGAACATTGGAGTTAAACCTGGGTGGCAGGCCCGCCACTAGACCCAGATCTTCTTCCATTACCCCTTGCTTAAGTCTAGCACGTTCTGCCTATTCCAAGATGGCTAGACAGGCGAGCAGCAGGTCCCAGTGAAGATGTCGATTCTTATTCAAAGAGTGGTCGGAAGCCAGGCTAGCTGGTGAGGAAGGCAGCAACATGGACTATCCAGCCTTCAGAGCCTTTGCTTCTGTTGGGCCAGTAGGGTATTCAAGAAAGGTGGGTTGTGCTGCCCTAAGGGCCTCAGGGTGCTTGCATGCCCCACTTCAAGAAAGCCATGACTGTGGTAGGCCTCAGAGAATAATAAAGGACAGCTTTAGACTTCCAATCTGGGGTCACAGAGGAGAAAGGCAAGCCTCCTACCTCAAATCAGTGAGGGGGTAGCATGCAACAGGCTGCCCACCTCACTTGGTACCCCAAAACTAAAAAGATGTTGAGCCACTTCCGGATTGTGGGGTGACAGACCCAGATAACTGAAAAACCCTCCCATCTTCCAAGACCCCTATGGGCAGGAACCCCTACAGAAGGGGCATTTCTCAGAACACTAATGTCCTTCCCCACAAACCCACAGCCTAAGCAAGCACTCTTTCTGTGCATTGGTCTGGGTATGGGTCCAGGTGTAGTTTAGACACTAACTGTCTTGTACATTTGTGCAGATCAGACACCAGAAACAGCATATACTGCTTAGAGCAACCTAGCTGGAAAATTCTTCAAAATGTGGAGTCTGAACAATGTAATAAAACAAAAAGCCATGTCACTAACTTGGTTCCTTTTGCTCTACTGATGGACCCAGGGTCCTGTAAAGATGGGGTGTATGAGGTTAAGTGGAGAAGGCAGGTCTCCTCCCACAGTCCCAGGTTCCTGAATCGGTGTGGCCTGGGAGAGTTGGGCCAGCACTGGGGAGCCAGAATTCATTCTATGGGTCAGCCTAGTCCAGAATCAGTGCAGGGCTGAAGACAGTGGCAACCTGCAGACTCTAGACTACTGTTTACAATGTGTCTGCTTTTGCTCCAGAGAGCACTTTGCAAAGCAGTAACTGAATCACTCTCATAACAGGGCCTTCTCTATTGCCTTCCAACAAGAGAGGTCCTGGTTCTGTGTCCTCACCATCACACCTGTGGAGATAGGGAGTCACTTCTCAGTGACCCTGATGCACCTGTCCGAGGACCTAAAAAATGCTTAGACTCCTGTGGATTCTTGGATGTAGTCTAGATAGCGTGGGTACTACATCCACATCCCAGGATCCTTCACTCCAACCCCTTCTTTCCTTCTGTCCCCCATGGGGGTTACTTACCTATCTTTTACCTCACTCTTGCACCCCAATTCAACTAGGCTTTTTTTGAATAGCTCCCCCAATCTCTGTGCCCGATATTAGTGTCACCAGACTATCCGTCCCTCCCAGTAGATGCCACGACTCTCATGAGCAGTGCTAGACATTGCTAGGTCCGAATCTAGTTGAGTTTTCTTTCTTCTCTTTCTTCAGAACTGGGGCCTCATACTGAGTCTTATTTTCAGGCTGTGACAGGGTTGCTTTATAAACGAAGGAACAAGTGTTAAGAGAGGAAAGCAGCTTGGGTCCCTTAAATAGCAGGATAGGATCAAGTTCTGTTTTTAAAAACCATGTTCCTCTGCAGAGACCATAAAAGGAGCTACCGTTGACATTTCAGAAGCTTTTACATCCATTCCCTTAAACGCTCCCTTTGTAAAATCATGACAGGAGAGAGGAGGCTGAGGCTGGAGGATCCCAAGTTTGAGACTAGCCTGGGGCACTAAGTGAGATTCCGCTTCAGAACCCACCCTGAAAATCTTGACAGCAATGATTTACAGAGCCTGCTTCAGACCATCTCACTGCGGTCAAAGGCAAGAAAGGTAGACCAGCGACCTGCCTCAGTGATAGCAAACTCTGGAGCCAGGTATCCCAGGCTCCCCAGCCAGGCTCTTGCCCAGCAGCCTCCTGTGAGGATGAAGCAGAAAAGCCTTCACACGGATTTCTAATGCTCTCTTTATTTAATACTTGACCGTCCTCAGAGAACAAATTGCCATTTTATGCTCTGAGAACTGCTTCAGTGCCCACGAGCTCCCCACCATAAAAACATCAAACACTAAAATCTACATTTTTAAATGAGAAAGGATGCCTATCATGGCTTCAGAAGTGAAGCGGCTCAGTCATCAGGATGCCCACTCTCTGGAAGAAGACAAGGGGAGTGGCTGAGCAGAGGTGGGATGCTGCAGAGCCTGCTGTCAGCATCTCAGTCCCTGGCACCTGCCCTGCATGGTCTGGAAGCCTTGATGTTTGCGGTACCCAGGCCTGGGCATCAGGCAAAGGGGGCAGAAGGCTGAACTGGATGGTGCCTTCTGTCCTGAGCGAGGCTTGGGGAAATCAGGGGCCACCTCTAGAAGTGAATTTCATACATGACTCAGGATGGTTAAATTCATTCCTAAACTTGTGTTTCACCAGCCCCCACTCTTCAAAGGCCCTGCCTATCCCAGACACTCTCTCCCTTCCCACACCACTTCAACACCCACACAGGATCCAGAGAACCTTGGAAACCACCTTTCCTCTTCTAACTTGAAGTCGGAATTAGCTGCCTTCTTACACCTATCAGTATCCTTCCTCCCTATATAACATGAACATGGTGAAAAAAATAACCCCTGCCCTATATGCCCGTCCCCACCCGGTGGCCTTCGAGGTGGCCTGCAGCTTAGTTGGACTGCTCCTGGGGAGAGTGCTGGCCAGGCTCGCTGGGCGCTTCTTCATCCTGGTCATCTGTAAAGGACAAAGAAAGCAGCTGGATTTAGAAAGGATGAATCACCTGTTCTCAGGCACAGCTTTCCTACAAGGCCTTCTCTTGTGCTCAGGGCCTCTGTGGAGAGTAACTCTGCTTTATTTTGTGGGGCAAAAGACTGGCTTCTAACCCTGGCCACATGGAACAGACTTGAGACCCCCTATCCAGCCTGGCTCTATATAGCAATGAACTTCCACTCGCCCTTCTGGAACAAAATGACCAGCGAACGGTAAGTGGCAGCTTATTTCATGAATGCCCTGCTGACTTCTGTCTGTAGTTGATCCTCAGAAGAGTCTCACAAGGCAGAGAACGCTATTTGTCCGCTTTGGTAGATGCTGGACCTGAAGCAACACAGAGACTGTGCTGGTCCAAGGTCCCATAGCTAGTATAGGCAAGAATGAATCTCACAGGCCAGCAGCCAGGGAGATTCAAGTCACACTACACCAGCCGCAAAGCAACTGAGCCACAGGCCTCAGTTTCCTCTCAGTAAAACTGAAGAGCACCAGACTCATCCAGTTCAACAGACGGTTTTGATACTTATACTAAAGAGCTCTTCGCATTTTCCAACCTTTTCCAAATCACAGGAGGCTCAGAAAACCGAAAAGAGCAAAGGCTTAGAAACTTCGAAGGCAGTCTACAGAGATGGGTCAGTGGTCGAGAACACTTGCTCCTCTTGCAGAGGACCTGCATTCAGTCCCCAGCATCTATGTTGGACCACTCCTAACTGCCAGAAACTCCAGTCCCAGGGCACTTGATTCCCTCTTCTGGCCTTTACAGGCACCTGTGCACACACACACACACACACACACACACACACACACACTTACACATACACTTACACATACATAAAAATTTTTAAAAACCCACTAATCTACTGCACACACTATGAGTGTGAGCACACTTCCCCGACACCTTGCCCATAGTAATGCTGTTCTAACCTCCATGGCTTCATGCTGACAGACTATGAGAGGGCTGGGGGAATGAGCTCAGCCCATGGTCCCTCTCTCCAACCCCACTTCAGGTAACCTCCCCCCCACAAAATCTTCCCCATCATCCGGAACCAGGAATATTCATGTCTTACTGGTATTCTTCTTGTCTGTATCATACAGGATGGTCAGCGAGAAAGATGGTGGAGATGGTGGTGGCGGTGGTGGTGGCAGGAAGTGGAGAGCAGAGAGGTAGCCTGGTGGGAGGAAGTGGGGCTGCAGTGGCTGGGGTGGGGGAGGTGGTAGCGGTGGTGGTGGTGGTGAGCAGTAGGTTGGCTGCATGTCTCGGGCTGGCTCTGACACCTGCATGGACACACAGAATGAGGGACAGAGAGGGAGACAGTGAGCCAGGCAGCTGATCAATCATATCTTTTATTTCTCAAATGGGGGGAGTCCATGTGGGGGCAGATACCCTTCTGTGTGCAGGGCACTTGGGACAGGGCATTCAGTAGACACCTGTGCATGAATGCAGGCAAGCAGCAATTCAGGCAAATCTTAGCTGAGCCTTGGGGCTTTCCCTAAGGGATTTGGGAGACCAGAACTCCCTAGGGTGCAGGGATGGGAGGAAAGATTGCTCTCTGGGCTTTGCTCACTTCTCTTGGGCAAAGGGGACTAGAGGAAGCACACACAATAGCAGTAAGTAGGCAGGGACAAGGATAAAGACAGGGTTGTCTCTGGGTGTCTGGAGCATGTGCCCAGGGCAACAGCACGCGAGTGAAAATAATCTCCTGGCTTTTAGGTTTAATCCAGACGTGATGCGTGTGCAAAGGGGAATTGTCAGCATTGGAAATCCAAGCTCTCAGGCAAGTCTCTCCTTAGAGCAAAGCTCCTGCCTGGGCCACTACGGCAGCTCAGCCCCAAATACGGGCTGGAGTCACACCTTTAACAAAAGTGTCTGGTAGACCTGTCATTCAGAAGCCTGCCTTGTATGCCAAGCCCAGGCTTCTGGGTGAGCAGACGGTGAGCTATAGGCTGCCCTTGGTCGCAGCCTCTCTTTGTCTGGAGGCCAGTGGCACCTGCTTTCCTGGGCTGTGATTGAGGGCCAACGAGAGAAGCCATCTTTCAGGCTGGGCAGTAAATGGTGCCATGGGAGTCAAGAGCTAGGATTGCTGTACTTCTGAGACACACTCAGGATAGCACAAAATGCCTGGGCTTGAAGCAGGGCATCTCTGACTCCATACGAATCGGCCAAGCGTGCTGAATCTCAGGTCTTATTCACACGTCCCGTGTGACACAGGCGCTCAGCAGTATGAAGGCCGCTCTGGCAGCTGCACTGCATGGATCAAACCTACGGTCTTCCCTGGGCTCCAAGTCTGAAGAGCAGACACCACAGCCTGGGCCCAGTGGTGCAGACCTCTGCGTGTGCACTTATGTTCCCGATGACAACCAGCTCTCTGGGGCTGAGGGCCAGCGAAAGTGGTAAGGGCAGCTGAGGTAAGGACAGGCTTCGACAGGAGTCAGCCTCCGACTTACCAAGCTGCCTCCATGGTAGGGGCTGCAGGAGACGTGCCGGAAGCCTCTTTGTTGAGGGACCCCCAGAGCAGAGGATGAATCCTGGCCTTCCGGAAGTGGGAAGGGCTGGTAGGGTGGCACAGGGACACAGGCAGGACACTGCTTGAGCGGCTCTCTCTCAGGGTACCCTGCTCTTACCGCATGGTCAGACTTGAATCTCAGAGGGCGCCCTAAGAAGATAAACAAAGAGGGAAGTGTTAAGAGCACCAACCTGAGGGGTGAAGCATTGCATTGCCATCTCCCGGGCAACAGCAAGATTGACACAACCGACTAAAGGAGTCCTGCGTCATACGTCACACGGCGTCATCATACTCGTATAATACATGGATAATGTATTCTGGTCACATTCACCCCGTGCCCTCTCATCCCCTCGTCACTGCTGATCCTTTCTGCCGTCTGTCCTCTTTCTACCTTAATGTCTCTTTGTGTATGCCTGTGAACCAGTAAGATTAGCTAAAACTACTTTCAGGAACATGGGTGGCCACATCACTGAATAAAAGGTGTCTCTCCCTCGTTCTACTAATTAACAGACAAGCTATGCGCACGTGCTCTGCCCCTTCTCCTGGCTCCCGTGTTCTTCACTGGGACACCATCTCTCCTCTTCATTTTTAACCTCACTGTCTATGAACACCCAGCCACGCTGGTTTGCCCTCCTGGTCGTCTAAGGACCTCTACAGACATCAGATGGCAGCTGGTTCATCAATTACAAAACCTCTCTGCACTGGTTAGTAGGAGTCTTTGAAGAACATTGCTCCTTCCCACAAGGACAGGATTCCAGAGGGCAAGGAAGGTGTGTTAGTCAGAGGCTTGACACTGTGACAAATACACCTAGGCAGTTTAAAAGAAGGGATGGCTTGTTTTGGCACATGGTTTGTGATTGTTGGTGCCACCGTCTGTGAGTCCTGGTGAGGCAGAGCATCCTGGTGCAAGGCTGTGGAAAGCAAACCTGCTCAGGTCATCCCTGCCAGGAAGCACCAGGAAAAGGATCTGCCAACAAGCTTTTTCTTTCTTAACTTTCATCCTGTCCAAGACCTTAGGCTGAGATGGTGGTACCCACATTCAGGATCACCCCTCCTACTTAGTAAACTCTCTCTCTGGAAACACCTCCCAAGATGCATCTAGAGGTGTGTTTTCCTCGTCTAGGGCTTTCTCGCCAATCTTGCTGACAATCGAGAGTAGCATCATCAGGGCCAGCAAGATGGCTTGGCAGGTAAAGGCACCTGCCACCAATCTGACAGCCAGAGCTCCATCCCAGGGACCCCCATGTGGTAGAAGGAAAGAAGCAATTTCTCAAAATTACCCTCTGACCTCTCCTCCACATGTGCTGGGATTAGCCACAAGTGCCTCCTTCTCCCTACCTCTTCATAAGTATCCCATGTTCAGCACATTTTAAAGTTCCTGTTTGTTGAGAGATGGAACACAGATATGCACTCAAAGGACTGCCGGTTTAGGTCAGTTTTCCTCATCAGATAGATAGTTTCTTGGGGAGAAAGATTTCTTACACAATCCCAGAAACATTAGGAATGATTAGCATTAATTTCTGAAAGTCTGCCCCTCAAGGAAGAAACTTGTCCAACGTTACACATGATCACCCTGCTGACTCAGTCTCTTTCTATACAGTCCTAAGGAAAGTTTAAAAACAAACAAACAAACAAACAAACAAAACCACCACGTCTTCATCCCAAAGAGCCCCATTCCCAGAGCCTCAAAATTTACATTACTTGAAAACGTACTTCAGGGCCTAGAGAGATGGCTCAGAGGCTAAGAGCACTGGCTGCTCATCCAGAGGACCCAGGCTCAATTCCTACCACCCACGTGGCAGCTCACAACTGTCTGTAATTCTAGCTCCAGGGGCTAAGACACCCTCACACAGACATGCATTCAGGCAAAACACCAATGCACTATAGTAAATAAATTATAAGATATAAATATAAATTTAAAAAAACTCACAAGAAATCGTACTTGAATCAGGAAAGCAACCCGGCATAAAGAAACAATGTAATTTATGCACAAAGTGAAGGGTGAAAGAAGTTGTAACATCTTAGTGAACCAACCGTTCCCTCTGACCAAGTAGCAGAAAGCTTCATGCCCAACCACATCCGGTGAAACAGAAAAAGTGAGTACAGGAGCGTTAAGCCAGACACCGCAGTTAGGATAAACGAGACTCTGCCAAGTGAGAGGAGGGTGCGCAGGTGCAGTCTAAGATGATCAGCCACTACTCAGAAAGCAAGTTTCAAGAGACTCTCCAGGAGAAAATGGCAGACAGGAAGGGGGAGGGGGGCTGCCACGCAGGCGCAAGAGGGCTAGACTTAGGAGGGGGAGGGGATGCCGTGCAAGCGCACTAGAGGATCCACAGAAAGGCGCCACTGCCAAAACTGTCCAGCTGCCATCTTTTTTTTTCTTGCAAAAGTACAAAGGCAAAAAACTGCATCTAAACGTAACCCCTCGCCCCAGCACCGCTCGTTCTTTCCCACCAGCCTTTTCCCATTGCCATCAGAAGCCACCCACCCAAATCCTTGTCTAGGAAACATGTTCTCAAAGTAGGTTTACCTGGGGAAGGCGCCTTTCCCACCCCGGCACCAGTCTGGGACTCCAGCTTAGAGCCGGAGGCTGCAGGCCTGATGCAGGCCAGAGGAACCGTCGGCTGCACGAGGCTGGGCTTACCGTAGTCGGCGAACGGCAGTCGGGGCACGGGGCGCACTGGCAGGTGCTGATCTGGGCAGCAAAGCTCGGGCCTGGGCGCCTGTGGCCTGAGCTGGGGCAGCCACGCGGGGGAACGATCGTGCAGTCCCCCCGGGGCCCCGGATCCAGGCTGGAAGGTGCTGGGGCCCGGGCGGCCACTTGGGACCAGCTGGAAGACACTCGGGCCTGGGCTCCGGGCCTGCGGGGGCCTCTCGAGGAAGCAGGTGGCCGCAGGGCCTGGCCCAGCACCTCCCGGAGCCGCCCTAGGCAGTGGACAAAGGCTAGAACTCGAGGCGGTGGCCGTTGCCGCCGCTGGAGCCCTAGGAGGCAGCTGGGGACCCGGGGTGCCCATGGTCGCCACCTGCTCCTCGGTAGCTTGGGTCTTGAGCACCTTCTGGGCAGCCATGATCTTCTGGCGCTCGGTGATCAGGTAGCACTTGTCACAGATGCATTGCTTCCAGCGACATTTGCCTGCATGGCCCTTGACTGGTACCAGATAGCCATGGTTCCGGCACCTTGAGCACTTGGGGGTGCGAAGCATCTTGTCGTCCAGCTTGGCAAGCTCTGCTTCCAAACGCAGCCACCACTTCCCGAAGCTGCAGAGCGAGTGAAGCAGGAATGAGCCGTGCCCCCATAAGTCCCTGGTGCTGGGGACATTGGATACACTGTAGCAAAACAGCTCACTGAGTGTCCCGAGAACTGCAATAAGGCTCTTGCATTTTTCCCACTTTCGGGGTGCGTGTGTGTGCTAAATTTAGTGTTTTTGTGTGTTGGGCAATGGGGTACAGAGTAAATTCAAGGTGGAATACTTATTGCATGTATGTTCTATAAGTTATTTGAGGTCTTCGGCACTTGAATTTTCAAATTTTCTGTTCCCGCCAAATTGTAGCTGGAATTTTTTTTTTTTTTTTTTGAAAAAAGGCGGACTTCTCAACGGTCGAGGCTTTTAAAACTCCCATGGAAAGTTCCAGAGAACGCAGTTTCTCTTCCCCGAAGCAGCTGCGTCTGCTTTCATCTCTCTTCTCTGTAGAGAAAAGAGCAGTCACGCTTCCAGAATATTCTTAGGAGCTTAGTGCAGTGCTGGTTACTTACAGACATTGCAAGAAACCCTGAGTTTTTGAGTCCTGTTTGTGTCGGCCCTCGGGTCTGAAAAATTCATGCTTAAAAATATTCTAAAGTACAAGAAATATGATATTCCGGAACTAGTTTGAATTATTGGCTTTTGGGTTTGGGGTGTGTGTGTATGTGTGTATGTGTGTATGTGTGTATGTGTGTATGTGTGTATGTGTGTATGTGTGTGTGTGTGTGTGTTCTCTCAGGAAAGGGAGCCAAATAAATAAAACATTTTCAAGAGCCTGAGTCACACCTGCTCATCCAGTGTGGGGCACAGTGTGTACGGACCTAGCTTGGGGGTGGGGGGGAGAAATCTTGCACCTCCAGGATGGCGTTTATACCCAGAATCTACTGATTTATAAGGAGCCAAAATTTGCTTGTTTTGTGACAAAGCATGGGCTCAAGTCCGTTCACTCTTAAAGGAGGGGAGCACCCAACTTTGCACCCATCCCACCCAAAAGAAAAAAAGTATTCACACACACACACACACACGTGTGTGTATAGGCATTAAACTACACACACTCACACAACTCTTCTTGTTCAGGAACTCACTACGTAGACTAGGTTGGCCTTGAATTCACATAGATCTGCAGAATTTACCTCCTGAGTGCTGGGTTAAGGACATGCACCACTACGCCTGGCTTTGGTTCTACATTTTCCCCCCTTTCAAAAGAAATATCTGTGGTGTCTTTCAAAAGGTTTTCAAAAGGTAAAGACATGTAGTGCTTTAAATAGTAAACAGGCCATTTCAGAGGGTCAAAAGGAGCCCGACTATGTTAAGATCAGAACTAAAAGACTACAAAAGTGGAAATTTATCCCGACACAGTGCAGATTCCCTGGAGCTCCCTAAAACCAGAAGTCGTACTCTACTGCATTAACTGTAGGATCTGTCCCAGCTGAGTCCCCGCGGTGGCCATCCTGACTCTGGCTGCTGCAGTTTTGAACCTCAGCAGAAATCTCCGTGGGACTCGGACACCATCTGCCCATTTCCCTCTGGAGAACGCACTACAGTGATTTTTATGGGGGGCGGGGCGGTGAAAAAGCCCAGGTTTCCAGCAGAAGTCCCTCAGCCGTGGGGTCAGACACGCTGGCGACTTCGACTTAGCTGATCTGCACACTACCAGTTCGCCGCCGTTACGGCGCCCTTGGCATCGCCCATTTTCTGGAAAGGTACAAAGCCCGCAGCGGCAAGATCACTGTATTTTATGACTACTATTTCTTTTGGGGAGGGGTGGAGGTGTGGGGGGTGGGCGGGCTCGAGACAGGGTTTCTCTGTGTAGCCCTGGCTGTCCTGGAACTCACTCTGTATATCAGACTAGCCTCGAACTCAGAAATCTGCCTGCCCCTGCCTCCCAAGTACTGGAATTAAAGGCGAGCGCCACCACCGCCCGGCTATGACCGCCATTTCAAAGATCGGTCCATACTTTGAGAAGAGCTAGCTAGCCTAGAGACGGCTCACTGGTGTAGAAACTCAGCGCGCCTCAGAAAAGGGTGATCTTAGCTCATGTGGAGGCCGTGACTGAGCCAATGAACCTTTCATCTCTGACCCAGGTTGAGGAAGGCCTGGCACTAAGTGGCCCGAGCCTCCTGACTGGAGAGTCTGACTGGAGAGTTTTAATTCTTGTGAATCTAGTTATTTCTGTAAAGCAATCCAAATCAGAAAGGCTGGCACAACTTCCTAGTGGCTTTGTTTGTGCTGGGAGTGGAACCCGGGCCTTGAGCATGTTAGGCCAGTTATCCAACTATAATTCCACGTTTTATTTTCCTTTCCTTCCTTCCCTGCCTGTCTGCCTCCCTGCCTCCTTTCTTTGTGTAGAATCTAGTGAAGTTACTCAGGCTGCCCTGGAGCCCCCTCAGTGGCCCCAGATCCATCCGACTTTAGCTTCCCATTAGCTTCAATTAAAGCCAGGTCCAGCTACAAACATTAGTGAAAGATATTAAATTATTCATAAATTTATTTTTTTAAAAGTCTGTGGCATTCTTGAGGGGTGTCATCTGAAGTGGGGTGGGATACACTAATACCTAAGTTGACAAGCTTATGGCAGGATCAGTCCTAGTTTTGGTTTGGTTTGGTTTTTCGAGACAGGGTTCCCTATGTAGCCCCGGCTGTCCTGGAACTTGCTCTGTACACCAGGCTAGCCTCAAATTCACAGAGATCCGCCTGCCTCAGCCTCCTGCATATTGGGACTAAAGGTGTGCGCCACCATCATGTGGCTCAGAGTCAGTTCTATTTAAGGAGGTATTTGTGCTTGCTAGCTGGCTAACTTTTGTGCGGTTTTCACTGCTCTGTTTTGAAATCTTTCTGGTGATGCCAGGGTACAGAGTCTGCCTTGATTTTCCCCGAGTCTCTGATTGCAACTCTCTGTGGCGGCAACAGCAGTGTCTGTGTCCGTGTTCCTGCTGTAGTGTTCCCTCCTCATCTCGTCATCCCCGTGCGCCGCAGCGCCCCCCTCCGACCTGGGGGATAAGAAGTTGTTACCATTCTGGGCTCAGTAGACTCTTGAAAGTTGGGGTGGGGGGTGTCATAAAACTTTGCTTATTTTAAAAAGTTGTCCTTCAGAGTTCCACGTGACACTGGGCCCAGAAAGCCAGGTGGAGTGTCCTTTGAGGAAGGTGACGTTATCTACATTACTGACTCAAGCGGTATCAACTGATGGAAAGGCTGCAGGACTCAGCTAATTCCAAGCAGGGATGTGGCTGAGCCAGCAGGATCCACTGACCACCAGCTGGATGAAGCAGCTTGGGCAAGAGGAGTGTTTGGACAACCCAGTGGGTGTTAGCGGCTTAGAGCAGAAGCACTGCTTTGTCTGGACTTGCTGTGGTCATCACAAAGACAGAGTGAAAGTCCTGTTTACAGAGCCCAACAGTGAGCAAAACAAACAGACTGACGGGAGACATGGCTTTCATGCTGATGCCTGGAAAGGTTGTAGAGACCGTCTAGTTGCTCCTGGAAAAAAGTGAGAACGGATTTAAGAAATAATAGGAAGAAACGGGTCCTGAACATGGTCACTAATGCTGCATGTGCGTTATTCTGGAAAGAGACAGGAAACAGTTGATTCCAACACTATGAGTGCCCAGGGCTACTTTTCAATTTTTTTAAAAATTTATGCGCATATGTCTTTGTGTGTGAATGTGTGTATGTGTGTGTGTTTATGTGTAAGCCATAGACACTGGAGATTTTCCTCAATCACTAACCATCTTATTTTTTGAGACAGAGTCTCTCAATGACCCCGGAGCTAAGTGATTCAGCCAGACTATCTGGCCAGCAAGCTCCAGGGATCTTCCTGTGGTAGAATATTTGATCACACTGTAAACCCTGAGATTGTTATTTACTAAAAAAAAACAAAAACAAACAAACAAAAACCTGTTTCTCCTTGTGAAGTGGCTAGTCTTTAGCACATACCTTTAATCACTCTGGCTGGAATACAGATATGCCTTTAGCACACACCTTTAATCTCAAACAATGAAGGTAAAGTTAGTTTGAGGAAGGAAGCACCCATGTTTGAAAGTGATGTTTAATTTAGCGGCAGACAAAGTGACAAATCAGAGAAAGGTACAACAGAATAAGATACACCCAACTCTCACAAGAAGAAAGAGGAAAGGGAAGCTACTTAAGAGAGAGCAGTGCAGAGAGAGAGAAAAAGGAAGGAGACAGCTTTGCTGGGAGAGTATTACAGAGACAGGTTGCAGAGAGAAACTAGACACAGGTGAAGACAGAATGAGCCACAGAATGAGAAGGAGCCAGAAGATTAGAACAGAATGCCAAAGTTAGGATGACCAAGCAAAGCAATTAAGGAGGGAGGGAGGGAGGGAGGGACGGGGGAGGGGAGGGGAGAGGAGGGCCGATTGAATCAGTCATCTTAGAGAGGAGTTTGAGACAGAACAGCTGAGTTGAACCAGCCAGTCAGAATAAAACTAGAAAGGGTGAGCTTATTCAGCAGGAAGTCTCAGAGGCTGAAAACATTCTAGGCCTAGATAAGACTGTATACAGGCTGAAAGCTTCCAGGACAAGGCCTAGGTTAGCAGGCTGAGGCAGCAAGCCTCGGAAATGACAATTACCTCAGGTGAGTAAAAGTTACTTTTACATCTTCCTGTCTTTGTCTCTGAGCCCTGCAGTGGGTGCTTGCCTAGTACATGAGAGGCCCTAGGTTCAGTCCCAGCACCAGAAAGAAAAAGACATATTATATATACTTTATTAATAATATTTTATTGTACTGCATATATATTAAAGTCATTGAATTGGATCTCATGAGAGATACATGAGAGGTGCTGCAAGTCTGAGGCCAGCCTAGTCTACATAGGCCAGCCTAGTCTACATAGGCCAGCCTAGTCTACATAGGCCAGCCTAATCTACATAGCATGTTCCATGCTACTTAGACACTGACTCAAACTCCACCACACACAGACACAGACACACAGACACACAGACAGACA